AAGATGGTTTATGCACACACACACACACATACACACACATACAGGAACATTACTCAGCCATTAAAAAGAATGAAATCTTGCCATCTGCAACAACATGGATGGACCCAGAGGGCATAATGTTATATGAAATAAATGAGAGAAAGACAAATACCATACCATTTCACTCATATGTGAAATTTATGAAACTGTTATGAAACAGATTCTTAAATATGGAGAATGAACTCATGCTTGCCAGAGGGGAGGTAGATAGGATGGGTGAAAGAGATAAAAGGGATTAAGACTGCACTTATCTTGATGAACAATGAGAAATGTACATAATTGTTGAATCATTATAGTGCACACCTGAAACTATAATAATGTTAATTATACTTTAATTTTTAAAAAACCTTAGTGGCACAACTCCTGTGCTATGAAAGATCTTTTCCCAGTATTTTTTTTTTTAAGATTTTATTTATTTTCTTGAGAGGGGAGAGAAACAGTAGGAAGGGGAAGAGGGAAAGAATCCTAAGCAGACTCCTCACAGAGCGTGGAGCCAACCTGAGGCTCGATCTCGTGACCATGAGATCATAACCTGAGCTGAAACCAAGATCCTGATGATAAGCCAACTGAACTACCCAGGCACCCCTTCCAGTATTTTTAAATACATAAAAACATACTGTTGCCTCTATTATACTTCAAAATAACTGATTGGTTAATATCAAAATTTTTAGGTTATCCATTACTGTTTTCTGTTCCTAGTTAAAATATATTTTTTCAGGGGCACCTGGGTGGCTCAGTGGGTTAAAATATATTTTTTCAAGCATGTTTAATGGGGGGAGGTAGGGGGAGTTGAGTATTTTAAAAGTTAACAATTTGACTGCTTCCCAGCTCAAATCATGTATTTGCATTGAGAAATAGAGAGCTAAAAAAAAATACAGTATAATACAACATCGTAGCCATATACAGGTAAGGCTTCACTGAGTGTATCATTTCAACTGAGAAAATTAAGTAAGGCAAGTAATCATCTGATGCCCTAAATAAATGATTAAAGAGCATCTTTTAAACTATACATACAAAAATGAGCTGTGTTACTTAGAGAAGGTCCTTTTCATTTTGGCCTTAGCAATAAAACCATGTTTCTACATACATTTTAACAGAGTGTTAACTAACTCATCAGCAATCAAGTATACCTATAGTCTAATAGACTAATCTTGTCAGGACTGCTTGATGGTTCATAAAACAAAGTAAAGCTAACAAGAAATGCAACTCAGAGATGCCTGGGTGGCTCAATTGGTTAAGCATTCATTCGCCTTCTGCTCAGGTCATGATCCCAGAGTCCGTGGATCGAGTCCTGCATCAGCCTGCTGCTCCCCCTGCTTGGGCCCGCTCTTCCTCTCTCTCTCACTCTCTGACAAATAAATACATGAAATATTTTTTTTTAATGCAACACATTCTATTTATTATGTGGCAACTCCTATGAAATAAGCTACTAGAAAGAAGCAAAATGATTAAATTGCCAAAAATATTGGCATATTTAGGTAAATTTAATTTTTAAGACAGAACTTCAGTACCACTGGAAAGTAGATTAGTGATTTTCAAAGTGTTTTCTGAAATAATACATGATAAATGTTTTGAGTTTTCAACATCAATAACTATCTTTAAAAAGTTATTTAATAAAATTTGGGTCATTTCTCAAGCCACTTAGAATAACATACACATTTACTGAGATTTTAGAAAAAGTTATATTCCAACCGGGTATTCATGAGACGATGGAAAAAACTAAAAGTCCTTGACACATTTTTATACAAAGTAAAATTCAAATAAAATGTACAAATGCAACCTAGAAGGAAAAGAAAAATAGGTCTCAGAGGAAGGCATATATACCTTGACAAGAAAATGAAAAAAATGTAATTGATCACTTTTCCCCTTTCAAATTCAGGTTTAGATCCAAATACCTTTTGACTTTTATATCTGCTTCCTCATTCTATTTCCCACCTTGTCCTATCTGCACAACTTTCTCAGTCTTAATTTTCATTTGTCTGCTGTATTTTATGTATCCTCATAAAGCATTTCAGTTGAGATACAATAGGTGTAAATAGTGTGTACTTCTTAAGTCTGCTTTCATCAGCTTGATATAAAAAAATAAACCCCTAAAGCCAATTCACGCATGATATATATAGGAACAATATCACATAGGGATTGAGAACAAGGGCTTTGGTAGGTTCCAATCAGTTCTGTCACTTACCATATGATGTTAACTAAATTTAATCTTGGGGACTCTCTTCTCTAATTCCTCCAAGTTCATATGGTAAACAAGATAATTAAAGAATTCAAAACACTCAACACAGAGCCCAGCAGTTTGCTATGCCAGGCAAAAAATGGTAGCTACTATATTAACATGTTTAACATGGTGCTGATCAAAATTATCTGTATGAATCTGCTATTTGTAAGACTATGTGCGGTGTACAGGGAACAGAAGGGGTTGGTGCGATAGGCAGCTGTCAAGTCCTGAAAAGTGAATGGTATCTGAGGCTATGCACAGAGAAGCCAAACTACACAGGTCCCACAGTGAAAAAGTAACCTTCTGAACATAGTCTGAGTAGAGGGTACAAGGTGCAGAGGCTTGGAAATAACCTATGGCAGAGAGAAATTAGACTTGCTCCTTTCCCTCCCCTCCTGGAATTCTACAAAGAGAAGATAGTGCTAATAATTACACCCCAACAGTGCTAAGCAAACTTTTGATGAGGGGCCTAAATAAGTTGGTGGATGACGGATGTTCTCCCCACAGGCAGGGGAGGCAGTGTAGGGCAGGAACAAACAAGAGAGCAAGCAAGAGCTCACACTTGGTTGTGAGGGTCTCAGATGTTAACACCTCCCCTGGGAGCAGTGGCAACAAATAGACAATAAATAAACACAAATGTTGTCCTTAAACTCACAGCTGTTATTGCCTCTAACCTGTATACTGAGAGAAGGGGCTAGGAGGAAACAGGTTACTGTCACCCATCTTTCCATAAAATAAAGGTTCAGACAGCACCATTCACCCATGATGCATGTAGAGATAAAGAACTACAACTACTTTAGAGAAACAAAACAAAGTAAAGCAGGATGGAACTCTCTATCTTTAGAGTGTGCTGATCACAAATGAAACTGGTTAACATCCTTAAATAAAGGTATATTTCAGACCTTTCCCCTCAAGATGGGAAAGCTAAATGAATGAATTTTTAGAGCTGTAGCTAGATTTCTTGTATTAACTAAAGAACAAGTTAAAATCAATTTATCCAGTAATTCTGAAATATGACTGTGAGGAGAAAAAAAGTGAAATATAAACCAGACTTTTTGAATTTCCGGTATATTTTACCTCTGAAAAGAGGCAGACAACGAAGAATTAAAATTCAAACCCATGCAGTGTGTGAGCAACTTTTATGCAAGGTGTATGAAATTAAGTTTTTTAGGCCAAAAAAGAACATACTTATAAATTTCATTTGTCTATTATATATAATCCAAAATTAATTATTATTACTTGTAAAATAGTAAATGCAAAATCTTCCACAATTATTTGTGCATGTATGCTTTTATGGTTCTTAATGATAAAACCTAATTTTTTTAAAAGCTAAATATCTCAACACGGGAAAATATCTAGACTACCCAGCAATCTTACTAAGCCATCTTGCTACCTAGTGACAGCAACACTAACTGTTTCCTTCACAAACTCACTCCGCTCTGTTAGAACTAAAAGTACACAGCTTGTTCTTTCAAATTTGTTTCAAATTTTTACTGAAGTGCCCCTTCAAGAGTTGAAAGGGTGTCAAAGAACAGTTTAATAACTTTGTAGTTCTTTAACATTATGCCACTAGTAACAAAGTGTATATCAATTTCCTCAGGGCTCAAAACACATGGAGTTTCAAGATCTTTGCTACTGCAGGTAAACCTGTTTCAATTTATAGATACAATATTTACCAATATAGGCACTTATCCACTGATTTATCTGTAGTCAACTACTTATCTGACAGCCATTCAACAAATAGAACGTGAATATTAATCTTATATTTGCACAATTCATTCATTATATTTACCAAGCACTTTTATTCAGTATTTAGAGTGTGCATTATTAAAGTTCAACAGTCTTCCAGAGAAAATGATTCCCTCACTCTAGGAGGTCACGGTCTATAGAGATAACTATATTTCAGCAAAGAAGCACTCTGAATACATGCTTCAGGATCAGGAGCCACAAACACTCGACCATAGTCCCAGCTCTCCCACTACCTAGCTGTACGACCTTGGGGAGGTCCCTTCACCAATCCCTCTAATGCTTAGTTGCCTGATCCGTAAAGTACAGACTTGAACCAGAACCAGGTAGTCACATCTTTCCCAGCTCTAAACAGTGTGAGAGTGCGGGCAATTCCAGGTTAACGACAACAGCGTCCCAGTCCACCGGGTGCTCTCAGCAACTAGCCAAGCAGTACGCTGGATGAACGAACGGCAGAGAATGCCCAACTTCTGCTGAAGATTCCCCTAAGCCTCTTCTCGCTCTTCGGCCATCTCTGCAGGGTATCTTTAGTAAGGCCCGGGTATCTGCGCTGATGCAGCCGAATCTAAGCAAACCCCTCCCTTGCTGCACCCAGAGGAACAGCTGAAGGCTCGCAGCCCCTCCAATCCTTCTCCAGCCAGACAGGACTCAGCGGTCAGCCGAGCGTTGGTACAACAGAAGACCTGCCTCCTCCGTGACCCCAGACTGAGTGGCAGCTCACTGCACCTGCTGCCGAGGGGCCTCCGGTCTGCCCGCCTCCCCTCCGCTCGCGTCACGTGACCGCTGCCCCGCCTCCCCCCGCGGGGACCCGATTTTGGCGCGCGGCAGTGACGTAAGCGTCCTGTCACCCGCCTCCGCCCCCACCACGGCTAGAGCGACCTCACGTTTTAAACTCGGCCCCGCCCCACCCGCCGCGTCTGCCGCCGGCTCCCGGGCCGCGCCGTTAACGGGCCCTGGCTGCCCCGTGCCCCGCCCGCCCGCCCGCGCCGCTCACCTTGAGGTGGCCGCTGTCTGGGCTGCTCGCTTCCTCCTCGTCCTCCCCTCCCGAAGCGGCGGCGGAGGCTGCGGGCGGGGGCGCGCCCCGGCCTCGGAGCCCCGGGTGCTCTGCGGCGGCGGGCAAGGCGGCCGAGGAGGCGCCCCCCGCGGCCCCGGGGCTGAGCGTCACATTGTGCGCGTTCTCGCCCCAGCGCCACGGATACACCATGAAGTCGCTGAAGCCGGGGCTGGTGGGGATGAGCGGCGGTGGCGGCTCCGGCTCCCCCCCCGCCGCCGCACGTGGGCTTGATCGGGGTCGTCCTGATGACCGACACCAGCACCCGCTTTGGGGAGTCGTGGCAGAAGATGACGGGCGGCGGCTGCGGCGGGTTGTCCGCCATCGGCCCCTCCATGCCCCGGATCATCGCCCGATCAGCAGCTCCGGCAGCCGCACTCCCTGAGCCCCGGTCTGGCCCTTCGCTCCGCTCTGCCGCGCTGCTCCCGAGTCGCCGGCGCTCAGTCCCGCCGGCTCATGGCTGGCGGACGTTTCCCGGAATCCTCTTGCGCGGCGGCCAGCGAAGGAGCGGCGCGGATCGGCCGGCCCTCGGCGGCCAGCGCCAGACCCCAACCTTGGGTCAGGCCCGCCCTCCGCTCTTTGTACTCCCCAACGCAACTGCAGCAGCGGGAAGCTGCGGGCCGCCTGCCTTTCGGTGACAGGAAAGCAGGACGTGCTGCGCCGAGCCCCCGAAAATAACAACCTGCCGCCTGGGTCACTGCTTCGGCTTTTCCCGCGTTACATTTCGCGCCTGGGCGGAACCAATCACCGCGAGGCCTCTGCCCGCTGGCCGCAGCGGCGAGTGACAGGTCGCGCGAGCCAATGGCCGGGCCTGGACTTCTTTCTAGCCGAGGGAGGCGGAGCCGAGCCTGCGCGCGGGTCCTTTCTGCCACGCCATTGGTCGCCGTTCTTATATTTTTTTCTGCCTCGAGGGCCAACTGCGTTCGAAACTCCGGGGGAGCGCGCGACAACGGCAGTCACCCAGACACACCCGCCAGGAGCCCCGCCTCCACCGTCCTTCTGCGCGGGTTGTCAGTGTCGGGGGTGCGGGCAGGGGCGGGAGGCGAGAGAGTCGCTGATTGGTGGGGCGTCGGCGAGGGGGCGAGGGAGCGAGGCCGGGTGGGTGGGGGAAGGGGAGAAGGTCGTTGGCCGGCGGGGGCGCGCGCCCGGCGGCCCCGCCCTCCAGTGGCTGTTGGGCAGCTGTTCCCGCGCGCCTGGAGTTTAAAGGGCTTGGGGCCCCCGCCGCCCGCCCCGCCACCGGTTCTGCGGGACCCAGGCCTACCTTCTGCGCGTCTCTAGTAGACGTCCAAAGGTGCCTAGTTTCCTAGCCGGTTCCATTTGCCCAGCCGTTGACTTCACTGATCCTGTCCGCGTCCCGCAGCTTCCCCCCTCCCCGCCGACCCCAGACTGAGGTGGGCATTTGCCCTCGCCTTCGCCCTCCGGGTCTTCGGTTCCCCCTCAATAAATGGCGTAATTAAAGAAGTGGTTTCCAGAGTCCCCAGGTGCTGTCCACAGTGCGGAGGGGACATGGACGCAGCATGCCTCCGCTCTCACACCCGGGACTGACGCCCCGAGGACCCCTGCCCTCTTCTGAGGCTGTTTTCACGTCATCCCGGAGCCTGCCTTCATTCTCGCGTCTGGATGGGCGTTGAGCTCCGGGCGCCGGGGAGTTTTCCAGTCATTCCAGACTCCTCCGTCTGCCAGCCCGCTCTCGCTCTGGGATCCCACCCCCAACCGGAGGGATGCTGGAAGACTGGGTTAGTCTGACCCACTGAGCGCCGGTGGGGCTCAGAAGCACCGCGCAGCAAAGGATGGGGCAAAATGGAATGTCCAGCCTCATATTCACTAGAATGAGAAAGAAGTGACTGTGTCTGTTTTGTTCTTTGATGAATTGCCAGGGCCCAACCTGACTCACGGTGAGTCTTCAATAAATATTTGTCGAATGAATGAATGAATGAATGAATGAATGAATAGCCAGTAGTTAGGGTTACATTTGGTAATTAAATTGGAACATGCCTATATAATAGATGGCTGTGCAGTGCGTGTGGGAGAGAGACACACAAATATACAGCTAGGTCTAAATTAATTTAGCCAAACTGTTTAAAAACAAATTTAACCTACATGAATAACTTCTAAGATGATTTCAAGTGATAAAAAAGAAAACATGGAATTGTGTAATTTCGTTCGTGAAATTAAAAAAAAAGTGGGGAAAGAATATAAATTCTTGCTTGTAGATATACAAAATGTCTCTAGCAAGATACACAAGAAACTGATACATCAGTTGACTCCAAGAAGGGATATTATGTGACTAAGAAAAAGAAGTGAGAATATTTCAAAAGTGACATGCACCTCTTTGTATCTTTTGCACTTTGAAGCAAGTGAAAGTATCTTTTCAATAAATTGTATATAGCTACCATTTCCTGGAGGCCTACTATAATATATAGCCTATGTCTACTGATAAACATATATAATAATATGGATGGATGATTTACTTATATTCTACTACTCTCAACAATTCTGTGATGTATATATTACTATTCCCATTTTACAGATGAGGAAGTATGTCCGAGGTCACATAATGCAACTAAAATATAGAGGCCAGGTTTTCTGGCCTCTGAAAACCATGTAGAGTATACCACTTTGAGTCTGCTGAACAAAAGGAAAAAGGCACTGAAAAATGGGACCCCTACATTTCTGAGAACTGTTTCTCATATTTAAAAAATTCCAACTTTAGGGGTCAAATCCAATTTGATGTTTTAATAGTTGATGTGGAAAACTGAAAGCTATTTTCTCATTCACTTAATTTAATAAATTTTGTTTTATCATTAAAATGATGATGCTGCCAGAGCAGTCTTTACTTTCAACTCCATCCCAATCAAAATACCAATGGCATTTTTCAAAATGCTGGAACCAACAATCCTAGAATTCACATGGAAGCAGAAAAGACCCTGAATCACCAAGGAAATGTTAAAAAAAAAAAAAAAAAGAAGAAGAAGAAAGAAAAAGAAAGCTGGGGGGAATCACATTGCGTGATTTTAAGCTATGTTATAAAGCTGTGATCACCAAAACAGCATGGTACTGGCACAAAAACAGACACATAGACCAATGGAACAGAGTAGAGAGCCCAGATATGGACTCTCAACTCTATGGTCAACTAATCTTCGACAAAGCAGGAAACAATATCCAATGGAAGAAAGACAGTCTCTTCAATAAATGGTGCTGGGAAAATTGGACAGCTATATACAGAATAATGAAATGGACCATTCTATTACACCATACACAAAGATAAACTCTTAAGTGGATGAAAAACCTCAATGTGAGACAGGAATCCATCAAAATCCTAGAAGAGAACATGGGCAGTAACCTCTTCAACATCAGCTACAGCACCTTCTTTAAAGACATGTCTCCAAAGACAAGGGAAACAAAATTTTTGAAAATTAACTTTTGGGACTTCATCAAGATAGAAGCCTTCTGCACAGCAAAGGAAACAGTCAACTAAACAAAGAGGCAACCCAAAGAATAGGAGAAAATATTTGCAAATGACACTACAGACAATGGGCTGATATCCAAGATCTATAAAGAACTTCTCAAACTCAACACCCAAAAAACAGATAACCAAGTCAAAAAATGGGCATAAGACATGAGCAGACACTTCTCTAAAGAAGACATACAAATGGCTAACAGACATATGAAAAAATGTTCACCATCATTAGTCATCCTGGAAATTCAAATCAAAACCACATTTTTGCCAGTTAGAATGGCAAATTCTGACCCACTGGTCTCGACAAGGCAAGAAACAACAAATGTTGGAGAAGTTGTGGAGAAAGGGGAACCCTCTTACACTGTTGGTGGGAATGCAATTTAATGCAGCCACTTTGGAAAACAGTGTGGAGGTTCCTCAAAAAATTTAAAATAGAGCTACCCTATGGTCCAGCAATTGCACTACTGGGTATTTATCCCAGAGATACAGATGTAGTGAAAAGAAGGGCCATATGCACCCAATGTTCATAGCAGCAATGTCCACAATAGCCAAAATGTATAAAGAGCAATAGCCACAATAGCCAAGATGTAGAAAGAGCCAAGATGCCCTTCAACAGACAAATGGATAAAGAAGATGTGGTCCGTATACACAATGGAATATTACTCAGCTGTCAGAAAGGATGAATACCCAACTTTTCCATCAACATGGATGGGACTGGAAGAGATTATGCTAAGTGAAATAAGTCAAGCAAAGTCAATTATAGTATGTTGTCACTTATTTGTGAAACAAGAATAGCATGGAGGACAGTAGGAGTAGGGAAAAACGAAGGGAGAAATCAGAGTGGGAGATGAACCATGAGACTATAGACTCCAGGAAACAAACTGAGGGTTTTAGAAGGGAGAGGGCTGAGGGAATGGGTGAGCCTGGTGGTGGGTATTGAGGGCACGGATTGCATGGAGCACTGGGTGTTATATGCAAACAATGAATCATGGAACGCTACATCGAAAACTAATGATGTACTGTATGGTAACTAACATAACATAATAAAAAAAATTAACAGCCAAAAAAATAAAATAATAAATTTTGTTTTTATGATTTAATGCCAAATGACTATACCATGTACTACTCGAAGGGAAATATAGCACATCCATTTTATACTTGAAAAATAGTAAAAGGAAAAAGTGATATATCCATCATAGACACTCAAATTATGGATTGAGTGAGATCCTACAGACCTAGCACCAACCAATAGTTATTATTTAACATGCTCCAGCAAGCAAGATAAATTATTCAGAACCAGGACACTGACTTTCTGTTTCTAAAAACTACTCTTCATCAACAGTAACCTGGCAACTCCACTTGCTCTCTGCCACGAGAGAATGAAAGACATGTCAGGAATGTGTGAAGTGAACAGAGGGTGATTCCAGGAACAGAGCTGAGGTCATGCAAGATCTGCTTGTTTGGCTCCCTTTTCCTGCACCTAGGAAGATGAAGTGTGTGGATCATATTCTTGATGTCTTTGTCCTGCCCCAGGCATAGTCACCACCCCACAGTGCATGTTAACTCTGAAGAACACTAAAACTCATTTCAGGATACTTACTATATCTTTCCAATTTTTAAAAATGTAGGCCTCTTCTGATAGAGATTTTGTTTTTAAAAATTCAACTGAGTAAATTTTAAAGATCTTATGGGCTTTATTCAGTGATTCATGACTCAGGTAGCATCCCGTCTAGCAGATAGAAAGGAATTCCGAAGAGCTGTACAAAATGAAAGACTTATAGGCAGAAGGGGAAGTTATTAGCCAGGAGTGGATTGTTTGTAACAAGGTCACCTCCTTGAGGGGACCACAGGAGGGTTATCTCACTGGAGCTGACCAGGTAATTCTAGATTCCCCTCCTATGAGAGGTTGAAATTGTAATTAAGTTAGATATTAAGTCTGTTTGGTGACATGGAGCTTGGCACCCATTTGGGGCCTGTGGTCTCTTTTCTTAACAATAGCCCCATTTTAATCAGGCTTTCAGCCTGAGAGATGGGACCAAAATTTAAGGCATTGGTGCCACTCGCAGCTACCACTCTGAGGT